CTGCACATTCTTTAGGGCTATCACTTCGGGATTGGACGGCTGATTATATAACTTAGTGTCATTTAAAAGGCATCTGGATGGGTATATGAGTAGGAAGGGTTTCAAGATATATAGGCTAAATGTTAGCAAATTTAGGATTTCTGGTCAGCATGGACGAGTTGGACTAACGGCTCTGTTTCCATGCCATACATCTCTATGATTCAATGACCGAGTCAGCATTCAGAAAATCACATCTGTTTAATTCATACTTGTATGATAATTTTGCATATTGGGAATGGAGCTAGACTCTGGAATACCCACTGAAAGTTGATTTTTAATCAGCAAAGAGAGAGTGATAAATGAATTGTGACAACAAGAGCAAAGTCTCCTGTTTATTCTTGAGCATTTCTTTCATCACTTCAGAATACACTGTCCAGTGAAATACACACTAGGGAACACACTACGTGGCTTAGTGAGGGGTGTGTGTGTGTGGGGGGGTGTGTGTATGTGTGTGGGTGAGGGGTGGGGGCAGGGGGGTGCACGGTGGCTCAGTGGTTAGCACTGCTGCCTCACAGTGCAAGGGACCCGGGTTTGATTCCAGCCTCAGGTGACTGTCTGTGTGGATTTTGCACATTCTGTCCATTTCTCTGTGGGTTTCCTCTGGTAGCTGTGGTTTCCTTCCAAAGATACTCACCGAAACCTCAAAAGATATCTACAGATTGTGAAGTTGCTGAAGGTACAAACTGACTATTAACCAAATGTGGTCTCAGGGTATGAACTTAACACCTCAAGGACTCTTTAACTCTGTAAGTTTTAATCTCTTTGTCTGTACTCAGCACTCTACTTTTAAACTTATTACCTGAGTGTGCACGTGTTCATGTGTGTTTGATATTGTGTTTTTCTTATTTTTTTCTGGAGTTAGTAGCTAATAAAATTCCTCTTTCCTTAACTCAAGAACGCCTTGATAACTGGCTTCACCGTTTACATCTAGTTAATTACATCTTTAATTGACATGTTAGCCGCATCTGAAAAGAATTTTTTTGTTGCAACCCTGAGCAAAAAGGAGGTTTTAAAGAAATTGAAGAGCCAATTCTCCCCCTCCTCATCTGTTTGTAACAATAAACACATCAGGCACTGCTGTGTATTTCCATTCAGCGCTGTAGCCTCACATACTGGCTTATATATACTGGAAGATCTTTTGATGGTGCTGCAGGAACTGGAGTTTTTACCCCTGGAGCTGGAATATAGGGAGGGTGAGCATCATGGTACTATTTTGATTCATTCAAGCTATCAGTGATAAGTATAATCTTGATATGTAAAGATTATGAAACAAACACTTTTAAGAATATTGAGCATGAAACAAATCTGTGTCCATTATATTTAACCAAAGAATGGACCAATATCAAATTGAATTTATCTTACATTTATGTAAGAGCCTGATGATGCAATGGCCAATACCTTCCCAACCCCTTTAAGGCACATTTGGAGATAGTAAATGAGGGATGGGAGTATATAGGAAGAAATTTAGATAGTTCTTCATCAAGTCAGCTCCTTGACCAGTTCCTGCCTCCGTGTGCACTCTCGCTCCCATTGTCAGAAGCAACCACCCAGCAGCTGCAGATGGCCAATTATGTTGATTACAAGGGCAATTCATCCATATTTATCCACTGCAATTAGATCTTTTGATTTGCACAGCACCCCTTCCCCTTATCCTGTCCACATCCCAGCAGGTGAAAGGATTTCAGAGTTTCAGAGTTTCCATGACTGTGAAACAGCACGTGGCAGCAAAGTGCAAGTCTACTGCCTGCCCATCAGGGAACATAGCCAAGGGGTGACAATCAATAAAATTGTGGAGGCGGACTTTTCTGATGTCTGTGTGCAGTAACCATTTAATCTGTTCCAAAGATGCTAATAGCAGATATTGTTCTTCTCTGTCAGTCTGTTCCTCAGCAGTGTCCCTACTGGTCTCAGACTAAGGACCCATTGGCCTAAACTGGAGTGCGCTGTGAAGTCCCAAACTATCACCACCTGAACCTATTGCTCTGAAATTATTTTGTCACAGAGAAATTGGCTGATTCCCAGAAAATCCTTCCAGAAGGTAAACTTCTCCCCGAGTAGCGTAGAGAGCCCAAAAACAGCCCCAAACTTCAATTATTTTCTATGTCCACAAGATATAGAGACAGAAACATTCAGAAGGAAGTCTGTAGGTCAGTCAGTCTGTGTAGAAGTGCTAGAGAACGAAGGCTGAAATGTTAAGCTCTGTACAGTAAATTCCTCCTTATCCATATCAAGCATCTGGAATTCTCATGCAATCAGCATCCACGTTTCCAAAGGGGAATTCCGGATGCTTAGGATCTAGATAATGGGTCCTTTACTGTACTAGCAATTGTAAGGGAATAATAGATCAGATGAAGCTCTGCCTATGTGCTCACAGTGAGAATTCCTAGATTCAATTGGAACCCTTGGCTTGTGGCACCTTTTCTTAAAATGCGCAGTCATCTTATGGCAGCAAATAGTCACCTTCTCCCAGTTATCACTATTATTTACCTGCAACCGGCAGATTCTCAAAACATTTCCAGTGTTCCAGCTGGATACTGGCGAGATTACCGTCATAAGAAATCTACTAAAAACTGCAGGAAAAAAGTTTAAAGAACTTGTGTTTGCTAAAGTTAAAGCAATAGTGAGTGTAATTCGTTTTAGGAATCTCGGTGAGAAATGTAAGCTGGAAAAAAAAACATTTTACGAACACACAGGAATTCACTGAAAGGAAACCTGTTGTAACCATAGTGTGGAGATAGTAGTAACTCTTTAATGAGGTTTTGAGTATTTAAGGATATTGATCGGAAAAAAGGGATGGTTTGAGTTTGAATCCTTTTCTGATGTTTGTAATAAAATCTTGCCATGACTTTAGTCTGTAATGAAATATGATTCATGTTTTCCTTGTTTAATAATTCGTTTAATCTTTGTATTAAAAGAACACAGGCTGATTGTTGTGAATATTTAAGACAGTTTCAAAAATACAAGTTTAGAGTCTAGCAAGCCATGTTTCATTCTGGGATCCACCTTGCCTAGTATTATCATAAACTGGAATCACAACAAGACATAACAAATCAAAGTGCAGCTGTCATATTGAAGACCAATTGGCTGGGTATGACTTTGCACTCACTGCCCTCTGAGTAACGAATTATTGAGCTCAATGGTATCATCTTGTGGAGGTCCTGTGAACAGCCTGAGCACTTTCCAGAAGGGGAGAAAGAAAAAAATGCGTTATTAATGCAGACTTCTATAAAAGAAATTTTAAATCTAAACTCATTAACAATCAAAATAATTGACAGAGCTACTGAGCTGAGCCATATAAAGGAGTTAAATATCAACAATATCAATATTTACCGTATGTCTCTGAGTACAGTTATTGAGCGTAGGAGCACCAAGGATTGACATCAATATAATATGGTCAGTATTGTAGGGTGCTGGTTGGAAGGGAACTGATTTGACAATAATTATTGAAGATGTTCATCAGTTTGGTGCTTCAAACAATGCCCTGCTTTAACAGCGCATTAATTCAGCTGCCATGTATATTTGGGTTCATTAAATGCTCCAAGTTAGGTCTGCAAGTAAGTTATTTGTATTAGTAATTATTGAAAGTAAAATCACAGAAAGCATTGGTCTAAAAATTCTAAATCATTGGTTATAATATGGGGATACCACATCCACAACTAGTAACGCCCCCAATAACTCTGTTCAGGAAATGAGGCCCTGACTGCACATCACAGCTGTACAATAAGCCTGACAGGTAAAGTAATGCTAATAATAAACTCAGCATTTTACCCATTCTGTTTCCAGTGAACCAAAGAGAGCAAGAAGAAGCACTAGCTGGCACAGTTGATAGAGACAGCTGGCATCACAGCAGATGGCAAATCTTCTGATAGTGTGTGTAGTTCTGATTCTCAAAACACTCCAAAGTTACAATGCTTCAGGTTGAATTGATCCAGTCCAAATTGAGCTTTTTTCTTAATGCTGGTCAAGCTTCTTTAATGGCAAAATGTATTTCACTTATACACAAAATGCTGTTGTACCACCTAGACTTAACCCATGGACAAGAATTTGAGTGTTTTGATTAGAGCTGGAATAATCATTCTGATTGCTGTGAAATGCTGTCAAAAGTATTTGCTTGTAGCTTCCTAACTAGATGCAGTAAGTAGAGGGATTTCACTCCCAGCACCATGTCAAACCAAAACCAGTTGGTTGTTTTTCCTAAAGGAAAGCATCCCAGGATGAGGGTTAACTACTTTTTGTGCCTAATTCAGAAATAGTAATTAGTTTGTCAAGGGGAAATGCTTAAGCAGGTAGAAAACAACTAACTCTTAAAAACTGGGTGAAATTGTTGCACACTCTCAGCATGTAGGTATTACTCATATAACATTATCTACTACGTTAACAAAAATGACAGAAGAACTATTAAGCCTCGTCTTTTAATCAGGCATGACCTACAATATCAAACTTGGAAAAAATGGAAACTTAAAGGGTTTTTTATCCCTTAAAATACACTGGTGGTGGGGGAGAACATAAAATTCAGATGAAGTGATAGCACAATGGTAATGTTATGGGTCTAGAAATCAGCAGGGTCCCAGGCAAATGTTCTGGAGATACAAGTTTGAATCCTACCATGGCAGATGGTGAAATTGTACGGTCTAATTTAAGAAGTCTAATGTTTACTACATAACTATTGGCAGTTGTTGCAAGTACCCATCTGGTTCACTAATGTCCTTTTAGGGAGGAAATCTGCCATCCTTACCTGGTCTGGCCTACTTGTGGCTCAGACTTGTCCTCTGAAATGGCCTCGCGAAATACTCAATTCAATGATAATTAGAGGTCAGCAATAAATGCTGCCTGGCCAGTGGCATCCATATCCCATGAAGGAGTCTTTAAAACATCATCCCAAGGTAAAAAAAAATGTGCATGATAACACATGAAAATGAACAAGACTGAGATGATAAATAGTTTGCCTTTTTCTGTTTCAGCTAACTATTCCCAAATTCCCCGTGGTTGTGAAGATGGGACATGCTCATGCAGGCATGGGTAAGGTAAGCAGTACTAAAAGAAGAGAGGCCATAGACAATGTCCAGCCCTGCTATCTCACTTAAGTATGTGATGAGCCAGGATTCTTGTGAAGTTAATAGAAATTTAATCTCAATTATCGACTTGAGGGACTTACTATAAATTATAATATTTGAATGAAAATCAAGTGGACTCTGTTACAAGCATTCAGGCCTCCTCACCCAGGTTGCCTCATGGTGCTTCAACCGGGGCAAGTTTATATTAAGGATGAACAGCTTAAAATCTGTCCCTGCGTGTCTATCTCATATCCAGTTAGCGAATACAGACAGGAAGATCCCATGTTTAATCCTTAAACCAGGTTAAGTCTCACGTGTGAATCTAGAGACTTGTGAAAGTTTATGAGCAGAAATGTTAACAATGCAAAACGATAATTATTACATGGAATTTAATGGAAATTGAACTGTTTATTGTGTTATTAACAAATAAAAAGTCATCACATCCAAAATTGCAGATTGTAAAGAATATTTGGTAGGTTTAGCTTAGCTACAAGAACAAAAATGCAACATAACTATTGTGTCGAAACATGATTTTAGCTTTCCTCTCACTGCAGCTTAGGCAGTTGATTAGACAGACAAGTTTGTTTACATTTTCCAGTGGTAGTGCCTGATTGCACTGTGTGACCACCATTGCCAATTATTATATGCCAGCTTTGCACAATTTCAGTGACCACCAACATACTGCGATCATGCTTCCATGCTGATAACTGGTTTATAACAATTATGTTGTTTGGCTTTGTTCTTTTGTATTGATCCTTGGAATCAGATGCGGCTAAGAGAAAGCTCATCTTCATTCATTGGTGGATCGATTTTAATTGTTAGCCTACCAAGTTCCTGGTCTTGTGACACGTGGCAACAGTATGGTAAAAATTAATGCCACCTCTCATTCCTCTCAGACTCTGGTAGGCAATCTGCTTTCATTAAACTTGGAAGTTTCAGCATGTGAACTTGAAGCTTTCTTTGCTTTTATTTAAGTTTGTAATGAGTTTTAAAATCCAAAATCTAATGCTGGCTTGCTATAAATGAGACAATGTGAGAAAATTTATGGATCAAGAACCGTATCCACCTCCTGAGAGGTTTTATCCATTCATGGGATCTGGCATCGCTAACTGGCCGGCATTTATTACCCGTCCCTAGTTGCCCTTGAGAAGGTGGTGGTAAGCTACCTTCCTGAACCACTGCAGTCCATGTGCTATAGGTTGACCCACCTGCCTTTAGGGAGGGAATTCCAGGATTTTGACCCAGTGACAGTGAAGGAATGGCAATATGTTTCCAAGTCAGGATCGTGAGTAGATTGGAGGGGAACTGGAAGGTGGTGGTGTTCCCACGTATCTGCTGCCCTTGTCCTTCTAGATGGAAGTGGTTGTGGGTTTGGAAGGTGCTGTCTAAGGATTTTTGGTGAATTTCTGCAGTGCATTCTGTAGAAAGTACACACTGCTGCTACTGAGCGTCGGTGGTGAAGGGAGTGGATGTGCTGCCAATGAAGTGGGCAGCTTTGTCCTGGACGGTGTCAAGCTTCTTGTGTTATTGGAGCTGCACCCATCCAGGCAAGAGGGGAGTATTCCATCACACTTTTGACTTATGCCTTGTAGATGGTGGAGAGGCTTTGGGGAGTCAGGAGGTGAGTTACTCACCACAGTATTCTTAGCCTTTAACTTGTGGCCATTGTGTTTATGTGGCGAGTCCAGTGAGTTTCTGGTCAATGGTAACCTCAAGAATGTTGATACAGGGGGATTCAGTGATGGTAACACCATTGAATGTCAAGGGGTGGTGGTTAGATTGTCCCTTGTTGGAGATGGTCATTGCCTGGCACAGTCACACTCCCAGAGGCCTCTCTTTGGGTTCCTAAATGTTGAAGTTCGTCACATTCAGCAGGAAGATGCAGGCCAAATCACTAGGTCAAACGAGCAATTCCTGAAATGGGCATCCTGTCTTCCTCCTCAGGAGGTTTGTTCTCATGCCTATATCTCCTCCTTATCTAACACATCCCCCCACTTTTGGCAACTGAAAAAGTGCTGGATGCAGCACACCACCACGATAGTGTCATTGAATCAAGAGTTTTTACAGAATTGAAAGAATCCCTTCAGCTCATCGTGTCCACACCAGTCATTAACCATCCAGGCTATTCTAATCCCATTTTCCAGCACTTGGCCCATGGCCTTGTTCGCTGTGACATTTCAAGTGCTCATCTAAATAGTTCTTAAATGTCTTGAGAGTTACCACCTCTACTACTGTTTTAGGCAGTGAGTTCCAAATACTCTCAACTCTCTGAGTAAAATATTTTTTCCTTAAATCCCTTCTAATTCTTCAACTCTTTACTTTAAAACTGTCCCCTGATTATTGATCCCTGTACTAAGGGTTCTCCCTGGCTATCCTCAGAACGTACACAACAAATGGGTCTTTATGATAATTGACTGTGGCTGCATATTTGCCATGAGGTCAGCTTTTAATTCCAGATTTTTGTGTGACGCCCTGTCTGCATGCCACCAGCTGACTTGTCCAGGCATTGGAACATATCTTCAGGAGGCCCATGGTCTGTTCTACAATGGCCCAGGTCAAAGTATAGTATCTCCTGAGCAGTAGTTTGTGGATTTCTTAGGGATGACATCAGCTACGTGTGGAGGGGCTATTTGTTGTCACCTAGTAACCATGCTTGTACGGAGCTTTGAAAGAAGTTGGTACGTGTGAGTGATTCAGTATGTAAGAGTCATGTCAGTTCCCTGGATATCTAGCACAGATTTGCATTACCCAGCTGTTGTAGTCAGAAATAATTCAAACGTTGAGGAAGTGGAATACTTTTCTGTTGATGAAGACCACTGGTTCATAATAGGGCACTCTCGTTTCTTCGTGGATATAAACTTTCACACCAAACCTTCAGGAAATTAGGATTGGCTGAGATTCCTAATACCCACCCTGTGTAAATCCCTGGTTCAAAGAGCAAAGGTAGATATTTATGAGCTTTGGTGGAAGAGAACATCAGTGACGTCCTGGATGGACTTGAGCATGCCAGTGGACCCCACCTCCTCCCTCTCCAAGGGCACCCAGGATAGATGAGATGGTGTGTTCGGCAGGCACTTAGCCTCACTGACCCCCTCAACCACAAATCAAGTTCAGTTTCAAATTCAGGGCTGCTGAGTTGAGCGATTTAGAAATTGACAGATTGCGATGGCTATGTAATAACCATGGCCATGTTATCTGCTTACAATCTGAGGAAGGGTCACCGGACCCGAAACGTTAACTCTGTTTTCTCCTCCACAGATGCTGCCAGACCTGCTAAGCTTTTCCAGCAACTTTGTTTTTGTTATCTGCTTACAATGTAGACCTGTGCGCCATTATACCAGAATTGTTAGGATGGATGAGGTATGAGGTACATTGACATGATAATTGAGTGAGAATTGAAAGGAAGATAGTTAATCTTGATTTAATCCCTAAACCCCTGATTACTGCAGTAGCCTTTAGGTGACATCACATTCCAACTCTGAACTCTCTTTCCAAATAACTCAATCACTTTGGATGCTGCTTTGTCGATATTAATAGCTTATTGCACAGGTGGTTTTCAGGTCAATATGGTAAGCTTTAGAATTTGCATTTTGTTGCAGTAACTTGCAGTCTTTGCTATCATGACACATGATACCTTCTCCCCACTCTTCACCTCCCTGTTCTGTGATCCCTGTTGCCCTGATGACTGTTCACTTTCCACCATGCGCCACACCGCACCCCAATTCTTTTGAGCTCCTTTATGTGACCATCAATGGCCCCATTTTAGAGCCCTGACCATTGAGGAGCTGCACCTTTGCTGGCCCTGCATCGTTCCCAGGCTCGAGCAAAAGTAATCCTTACTTCTGGACAATTCAGTCCCTTTCCCTATCCCACTAGATCCAATCAATGATCTTCAGTTGCCACCATGATGGTGACCATGGAACATCCCTCTGACAGAATTTGCAAGATGATCCTGACTGACTGACCGGCTCATTAACAAGGACCAAACTCATTTTGCTCGACTGACAGGACTGACCGTGCTACTGGAACGACGGAGGTTGAGGGGCAACCTGATAGAGGTCTACCAGATTATGAAGGGCATGGACACAGTGGACAGTCAGAAACTTTTTTCCAGGGTGTAAGAGTCCGTTACTAGAGGCCATAGGTTTGAGGTGTGAGAGGCAAGGTTTAAGGGTGATGTACGAGGCAAGGTTTTTACGCAGAGGGTGGCAGGTGCCTGGAACATGCTGCTGGGGGAGGGAGTGGAAGCAGATACAGTAGCGACTTTTAAAGTGCGCCTTGACAAGTACATGAATAGGATGGGAATAGAGGGATACGGTCCCCAGAAGGGTAGGAGGTTTGGTTGTGATGGGCAGCATGTCGGTGCAGGCTCGGAGGACTGTTCCTATGCTTTAATTTTTTTTGTTCTTTCTTTGTTCTTTTCTAATTCCTGACTTGCATTGCACTAACTGCCTGTCTGACTGTGGCCAGTCTCCTGACTCTAAATAGCCCCAACACCTTGACAGATTGTGGTGGAATCCTTTGGCTGACTGGAGTTCACCCCAGCCTCACGTAGCGCATCTCCCTCCTCCCTCCCCCTTTTACACATCATCTTGCTCTTCATTAAACTGCAGTGTTTTTGCCATATAAGCTGCAGGCACATGCACCATGTCTGCCTTTGATGCACTACCATGCTGTACAGCCCTCTCACACTGACTTCACTGTTCTCTACAGTATCATGCTCCTACTTTGCCTTCTGCGTGAAAGTGACCCTCTCAAATTTCGGAAGAAGGGTCGAGGCCCGAAACGTCAGCCTTCTTGCTCCTCTGATGCTGCTTGGCCTGCTGTGTTCATCCAGCTCTACACCTTGTTATCTCTCACTCACAAGTTGTCCACTTGCATTCTGCACTGAAGTGCCATTCCAAGAGAAAAACTGCTCCCTGCCCCTGTCCACTAAAGTGTCACCTGGGAAGCTGAAGGGTTTGTGGCTATTCTCCAGTTGCAGCAGTGGTCCAAGGACACATCCTGCCATAGTCTCCATTGAACGCACCCCCTGTAATTGTAGAAGTTACAGCAAAAATGAAGACATAGGCCATTAAGAGGCCATTTCAGTAAAGACAGTTCAGACCTGAAAGGGGTAACTGACATTGTAGCATAGAATCTACTCATCAGGATATTCTTAATCAACCTGTTCAGAATTGTTACAGCACACCTCTGGAGCAAGTGGGACCTGAATCCAGGCTTCCAGACTCAGAGGTAGGGACACTACCACTGCACCTCAAGAGCCCTTACCCGTCAAGATACAAAAGACCATTCCTGGGAGGAGCTAATGAGAGCTGTTGAAGTTATTTGCTTGTTACCAATGATGTGAGGTGATGTCTTGGGAGCTATAATGTGAACTGATTTTAAATTGGGCCTGATGTCTCACAAGAGACCACTATGTATCTTGGAGTACCAGGTCCTTTTGGAATCTTTGAATGTTGTGTTTTATTACAGGCACGAAGGATAATTCTATCTTGCTTGAATTTCAAAGTCACCGGTCAATGCAAACTGCTTCCAGCAGGATCCATGAAATATTCACTAATTTCTTATAGATTGGGATTATTTTCTCAGAATATTCAACAATTCTTTAACTGAATATATAACTAGAGAGAGAAAGTCTCAAAGAAAACTTTCCAGTTCAGCAGCTTCCAATTATATAGCTTTCCACCCAAAAAGAAAGTCAAAACCAGTTCTGAGATAACAAGGTGTAGAGCTGGATGAACACAACAGGCCAAGCAGCATCAGAGGAGCAGGAAAGCTGATGTTTCGGGCCTAGACCCTTCTTCAGAAATGGGGGAGGAGAAGGGGGTTCTGAAATAAATAGGGAGAGAGGGGGAGGCAGATAGAAGATGGATAGAGGAGAAGATAGGTGGAGAGGAGACAGACCGGTCAAAGAGGCGGGGATGGAGTCAGTAAAGGTGAGTGTAGGTGGGGAGTTGGGGAGGAGATAGGTCAGTCCAGGGAGGATGGACAGGTCAAGGGGGCAGGATGAGGCTAGTAGGTAGGAGATGGGGGTGGGGCTTGAGGTGGGAGGAGGGGATAGGTGGGAGGAAGGACAGGTTAGGGAGGTGGGGACAAGCTGGGCTGGTTTTGGGATGCAGTAGGGGGAGGGGAGATTTTGAAGCTTGTGAAGTCCACATTGATACGATTGGGCTGCAGGGTTCCCAAGCGGAATATGAGGTGCTGTTCCTGCAACCTTCGGGTGGCATCGTTGTGGCACTGCAGGAGGCCCAGGATGGACATGTCGTCTGAGGAATGGGAGGGTGAGTTGAAATGGTTCGCGACTGGGAGGTGCAGTTGTTTAGTGCGGACCGAGCGTAGGTGTTCTGCAGGTGAACATCTGCTTGATGTGGAAAGTCTTCTTGGGGCTTGGGATGGGGGTGAGGGGGGAGGTGTAGGGGCATGTGTAGCACTTCCTGCGGTTGCAGGGAAAAGTGCTGGGTGTGGTGGGGCTGGAGAGGAGTGTGGAGCGGACAAGGGAGTCACGGAGAGAGTGGTCCCTCTGGAAAGCAGATAAGGGTGGGGAGGGAAAGATGTCTTTGGTGGTGGGGTCGGATTGCAGATGGCGGAAGTGTCGGAGGATGACGCGTTGGATCCGGATGTTGGTGGGGTGGTACGTGAGGACGAGGGGGATTCTGTTTTGGTTGTTATTGTGGGGAAGGGGTGTGAGGGATGAGTTGCGGGAAATGCGGGAGACACAGTCGAGGGTGTTCTCGACCACTCTTTTCCAACATTTTCTGTGGTTGGCTGGCCAACACTGGCCTCCCCTTGATTGTCCAGTTCAACATCCAACCAACTGCCAGTCATAGAGCATAACACGTGGTACCAAAATGTCTGCAGTGTTCTTAGAACAATAATTAACTTGCAACTATCTTTCCAGGCCAGTTCCCAGATGCAAATATCAGTTTGTTTGTTCTCTCTTTATTTTTAAAATAAGCTGCCGTTCAAAGTTTGATTCTCAACTTCAGTTCACAGGGCCAAACCAGAAATGAGGAAAATAAAGAAAAAACAGTGATGATCTTAACAGTCTGAAGATTTCTTCAGCTATCACACCTGCTAGCACATTACATGAGACATCTGTCACTGCCACCATCTTATATAGTACAGCTCAATGAAACCTTTAGACATCAACTTAAGTTCACATTACAGTAACTGAATCATTTTAGCACAGCATTGGTAACAAGCATGGATCTCTAACAACTCTTGTTGGCTTCTTCCAGGAATAGTCCTTTATATTTGGATCATATCTCATGATGTCAATGAATCCTTTCAAGTCCTAACTGCTTATATAACAGAGACAGCAAAAGCTACATATTAACATGAACTTGAGGCTCAAGAACAAAGTTGACATTTTGGTTTATGCAGTCAAGTTTCTGAAGCATTCAGGTATGCCCGAAATTAATTGAGAATGGGAAATTACTTCCAGTGAATTGTGCAATCAAATGGAAATTGACATTTCATCATCTAAGGAGGGAGAAACCAATTGCGAAAGTTTGTCTTGACAACGAGGAATTGATTTTTGGACTCTTGCCTGATTAGTTCGTCACTCTCACCGTTATTCTCGCCCCCTCAGGAAGGGGAAATTGCACCATATGTGTTTTTCCATCAGTACCAACAAGAATTATTTGCATGAGAAATCTTGGAAGCCATCACTCCACTTGAACAATGTGACACCAGTTGATTTATTGCATCAGTTGTGTGCTGCCACCTGGAGCCACTTCTCAAATGTTAGCCTTCATTCAATATTGTCAAAGTTGAAACTTGTTCATTCTGCACATTAAGGCAGGCAACTGTCAGGACATTACAAATGAGAACTCAGAGTAAGTTGAGCAGGTTAAAGCACTAAGAGTGAAACATTCTTGTCTACCTTTGGAAGGTAGCAAGACAAGAGGATAGTGCTGGCAGGAGTTTTGTGGGCATACACCTAGATAACTGCCAATGGCAACACTGTGAAGCAGCACATAGCCAGACATGATCAGATACTTTTCTGTCTTTATTCTAAGGGTGTAATACTCATTCTGTTTCAGTTTGATCTGCCTTTTCCAGTGGATCTATTACATTACAGGAAAGCACAGAATGTTAAAGAGGAGGAAGATGATGTGTTGGAGGAGACCAGCAATTTATTCCTCGTTAAGTATGATGATATTCTCTGGGTGTGATATTGATCAGGATACTGAGGGAAAGAAAAAACAACACAGGAGTCTATGTGTTCCTTGTCCTAAACTCTGCTGCTTACTTTCATACACACTTCAGATGTTGTCATTTGGAGGAAATTAAATTGTGTAGGTGAGGATGTGACAGAGCTCAATGGATCAGGGGAATGGATACACACATATTGGTTGTATTCTTAATGGAAACACTTTACAGATGTTTTGTAAGATTTAATAACAATGCTTCTAACTCTTTTGACTTCTACTCTTGCTCTCACTGGCCTTGGCTTGTCTCTTACAGGTAAAAGTTGAAAATCACTATGATTTTCAGGATATCGCCAGTGTTGTGGCCCTCGCAAAAACTTATGCAACCACTGAACCTTACATTGATTCCAAGTACGACATCAGAATTCAGAAGATTGGAAATAATTATAAAGCTTACATGTAAATACTAGCATTTTATTTATGTAGCCATCATTTACCACAGCAAATTTTGTAATGTATTGGTGCTTTGATGTATAGACATTTAATAGTGTTAAGTTTGTGTGTCGATGGTACACACTGTTGCTACTGAGCTTCCGTGATGAAGGAGTCGACGCTTGTGGATGTGATGCCAATCGAGCAAATAGTTATATCCTGGATGATGTCAAGCTTCTTTAGTGTTGTTGGAGCTGCACCCATCCATTTGTCACAAAGGCAGCCCTCACGTCTATTACCTGACCTACCTTCACCCAATTTTCTAAAGAAAGATACTGTGAAGTTTCAAGACAGCCAAAATGATTTTAACCTAATTTCTGTTATTTTATCTTGTTTAAACTTTACCAATTACAAGTAGCAAAACAGAATGTAAATTCAGCCTTCTTATGGGGAATTTCAACAGCTACCCATCTGGTGCCAAAACATAGTTGAATGGAGAATGAGTATGCAAATCTGAATGTTTCTAACACGAGAGCAAAGGTGAAAGAAATTTATTTCATATATGCCTAGATTCTCAGGGCTACAATTCGTTTTATCCATTAAGACCAAATTGCTCTCTGTAAAATGTGCATATCTCAGTAGATACACGAAGGCATCTCCATTGCAAATAATTCAGGTATCCAATTGGTCAATTAAACAATAACAGTTTAAAAACTGTTGTTTTCTGGAAGTTCTCAAAATGTCACAGAATTGTGGGAACTTTTAGAGACAGGGCCTTTTGTATCAGGAAAATCTCTCCTTTTCTGAGATTGGCATTAACTCCAAGCACTTTGAATTACAGTGTGCACCTGATTGGAGCCTGCGTGCCAGTCACAACTTGTATCAGTTTTGATGCAGGAAATCCTGCCTGGAAATGAAATATTAATGCATTGTTCCAGTCTCTATTCGGAGGTTTCAGTAGGAATTTAAAAGCAAAACACACTGTCTGGCTAATCAACCACAAATCAGACAACATGTGCCACTCTTTAAATACAAAAAGCAAAATAAATGTGGTCACAGGAGATCTGCTGTAAAAACAAAATGCTGAAAATGCTTAGCAAGTTCTGGCATCATCTGTGGAGAGACAAATAGGCTTTATTGACCTGAAATCTTAGCTCTGTTTCATTCCCTGTGGATGCTGTCAGAGCTCCTGGGTACTTCTTCCATTTTCAGCTCTTATATTACACTTCTGGGCTGAAAAAGTTCAATTCTGTTGCTAATTTGGTGCTACAGTCGCTGATGGTAGTTGTACCTGTGATAAAGGTGAAAATTGTTCTTGCGTAGGATTCTAGACCTAACTTTTGTGAATGAAGAGCAGCATCTTGTAGCACCACATTGCCATGGAGAGTGGTGTGAATGGTTGTGTAAGATGTGCTTTTGTTGCAACAACTATTTAAAGTGAAAATTATCTTTTTAGCTGAAATGTCATTTGTTTATTTATATTTAATTGGTGTTGGCCCTGAAACGTTTTTAAAGTAAAAGTTACAGAAACTGATTTTGTCATGGTGGGGAGGATCATTCCATAGAATTGGTTAGTTTGTCTAATGGTTTCCTCCACAGGAATCGTAAGGCTGTGGAAGACCTGCTATACGCCGAGTCTTTCTGCGCATCTGTCCATCAGCCTTTTCCTGTGCATCACCTCGACAAAATCATGATCTGCATCTTCTGCAGAACTCTTAGGATGCCATGCTCTTTGGGGAGCTGCACATGTGCAACTCTTTACCCCCCCTGCCAGCTGGCTGCTGTTTGTTCCCAGTGACTCACCATGAGCAGATCCACCCACTGTACCACCCGCTAATGTTTGTGTAAACAAATAAGGGAAGTACATCTGTCATTTAACCAAATGTTTGTAGCTGTTTTCCTTCTGCTTCTGTAAAGTGGTTGCTGGCTTGTAAAATCCTATTTTGCAATATTGTGCACTTCTATCTTTCAGGAGAACTTCAATTTCAGGAAACTGGAAAGCAAACACTGGCTCTGCCATGCTGGAACAAGTGGCCATGACGGAACGGTACGTATTTAGACCACTGAAACCAAAATCAAGATACAAAACTTTCCAGCAGCACATTCAGCAGTGAAGTTAAGGAAGTACTGGATTGGAAAGTTTTTAAATAGTGAAATCTCCATCTTTATTTCATGTATTCTCTCTGGGTTAACTGATCTCTTCACTGGGACTTTCTTGAAAAACTTCTTTTGAAAGTGGGTTCTGTATTCATAAGTTGCAACAAATAATTATTGAAGCCCAGGATTAGCCAGGAAAAGTTCTTATAATGGTGTTGTATTTTCTAGTTCTATTTCCTGCTTTTTTTCCCTACAAATCTTCACAATTATAGAGCAATTTAATATCATGGCCCGAAGAAAACTACTCAAACCAACCACAGTGAGAATGACTTAGAAACCAAAAATTCATAATGTAAATGGGGAAGGCTATAGAAGGAAACAGAGACAATTGGACAATTTTGTTGCTTCTGTTCTGAAAAAAAGGAAAACTTTCTCTTTCAACCAATTTTCTTCAGTAACTTCCTGATCTTAACAATACATTCTTTTACAAAACTGGCAAATACTGAAAATACTCAGGCACTTTCTGTAGAGAAAGAAACAAAGTTAATGTTTTGGGTTGATGACCTTTCATTTTTATTTTGGAAATCTCCAACCTAGCATTTTTAAAATCAATGTGAATGGAAAGTAAATCTACAACTTAGAATGGTGCTATTGCCATTAGCAACAGTGTAAACATTTTGGATAAGTCCCAGGTACCACCACACTTCCCTAAGGCAAGCCCTCCCTCCTGCTCCCAATTGAAACACTGCAACTATAACAGAAAGTCAGGGGATCAGTTGTGTAATACTTTTGGCAGATTTGTTTGGGAATTAATATGGAAACACAGCTAATGCCTGGAAACAGCCTCTTAGAGACAAAAATGATACAGATGCTGACAGCTTTATTTGGGTCCAAGGAGACTGTAAAATTAATCCAGCTGACTCTTGACAGACATTAAATCATTTGGAAGGTTATTTTGGTGATGGGGTAAAAACAGACACTAAATGGGTGCTGTGTACTCATAAAACACACCTGCCTGCTCTTAGTTTGCATTTTGTTTTTTGATGTTGATTACCAGAATATTAATTTGCCCTAGATTCTCCAGCAGAAAACTGCAGATTTGGCATTCAAACTGAATTAGAAAGTAATTCACTGGGGGTGTATGTATGGCCTCCACTTACCCACTCACATTGAACATGGGAGTAAGCTGGCTGAAACACCATGCCATGTTTCAGAATGGCTCCGTGTTTGAGTGTGCACAGGTTCTTAAAGTTCACGGTGGAACAGGACCACAAAAGGATTGATATTCCGTCTCTCTGCCCTCATCTCCTCCTCCAGAGTAAGGGCTACGAGTAAAGATGCAACTGAACAAAGAATCCCTATTGATTCCTATAAAGTTCCCAACAAGGTAGAATTGGCATAGCATTTACTTGTTTTAAATGAAATAGTCAAAGAATCTCTGGAATAGGCATGGATTAAATGTTGGTGATGTTTTAAAGTATCCCATAAATTCTCTCCAATGTGTTTCAAAAATCCCCTTCAAATTTTAAGCAGCAAATGTAAAGGTAAAGGGTAACATTCCTTCAAGTAGTTCATGAAATCGTCTGTACAATGAGAGCTTGCTCACAATCTGCTGATCACTTTTGAGAGAAGACATTAGATCATGTGCTAGCCATCAAAATACATGTAGTCTCCCGAATGAGAGCAGGCAGCTGAGGTGCCAGGCAATTCTTAAAAGTCCCCTGTGCAGTTGTTATCTAATACAAGCTTCAGCTCCTTCACCACATTTGTGTCTTACACCATAGACCATAGAACATAGAACATAGAACATTACAGCGCAGTACAGGCCCTTCGGCCCTCGATGTTGCGCCGACCTGTGAAAACCAATCTGAAGCCCATCTAACCTAAACTATTCCATTATCATCCATATGTTTATCCAATGACCATTTAAATGCCCTTAAAGCGGGCGAGTCTACTATTTTTGCAGGCAGGGCATTCCACGCCCTTACTACTCTCTGAGTAAAGAACCTACCTCTGACATCTGTCCTATATCTATCACCCCTCAATTTAAAGCTATGTCCCCTCGTGCTAGCCATCACCATCCGAGGAAAAAGGCTCCCACTGTCCACCCTATCTAATCCTCTGATGATCTTGTATGTCTCTATCAAGTCACCTCTTAACCTTCTTCTCTCTAACGAAAACAGCCTCAAAACCCTCAGCCTTTCCTCATAAGACCTTCCCTCCATACCAGGCAACATCCTGGTAAATCTCCTCTGCACCCTTTCCAATGCTTCCACATCCTTCCTATAATGCGGTGACCAGAACTGTACGCAATACTCCAAGTGCGGCCGCACCAGAGTTTTGTACAGCTGCAATATGACCTCATGGCTCCGAAACTCAATCCCTCTACCAATAAAACCTAACATACTGTACGCCTTCTTAACAACGCTATCAACCTGGGTGGCAACTTTCAGTGATCTATGCACATGGACACCGAGATCTTTCTGCTCATCCACACTACCAAGAATCTTACCATTAGCCCAGTACTCTGTATTCCTGTTACTCCTTCCAAAGTGAATCACCTCACACTTTTCCGCATTAAACTCCATTTGCCACCTCTCAGCCCAGCTCTGCAGCTTATCTATGTCCCTCTGTAACCTACAACATCCTTCCGCACTATCCACAACTCCACCGACTTTGGTGTCATCCGCAAATTTACTAACCCATCCTTCTACGCCCTCATCCAGGTCATTTATAAAAATGACAAACAGCAGTGGCCCCAAAACAGATCCTTGAGGTACACCACTAGTAACTGAACTCCAGGATGAACATTTCCCATCAACCACCACCCTCTGTCTTCTTACAGCTAGCCAATTTCTGATCCAAACCGCTAAATCACCCTCAATCCCATGCCTCCGTATTTTCTGCAATAGCCTACCATGGGGAACCTTATCAAACGCTTTACTGAAATCCAAATACACCACATCAACCGCTTTACCCTCATCCACCTGTTTGGTCACCTTCTCGAAGAACTCAATAAGGTTTGTGAGGCACGACCTACCCTTCACAAAACCGTGTTGACTATCCCTAATCAAATTATTCCTTTCTAGATGATTATAAATCCTATCTCTTATAATCCTTTCCAACACTTTACCCACAACCGAAGTAAGTTGAATCAGCATTTCTACTTAAAACCAATTTAGTGATCATGCATGCAGGCTCTTTAACCCTAAAGGGATTGTTGTAAAATCAATCCCTGTCTTGAAATCTTCCTGTATTCCTATCTGCATATGAAAATAAGAATGTTGTATGGTAATATGCATAGAGACTTTATAACATTTTGTCTTCCAGTGCTGGTATCTCGAGACTGTCACCTACAGTTCATCATCCATTTAAAGAGAGCAGGGAGATGCAATACAAAATGCCTGTTCCCAAGCTGTTAGTTAGAAGGAAAAGCAAAAAGCTTGAAACAGCAAGAGACCAGAAAGTGTGCTGACTTTTCCTGTACGAGGAACATATTTGACTAGTTTCAGTTTGCTGTAAAGTGTTACATTGCTGAGATGTTGCAGCACAATGGGGGACTGCATAATACATGTAGGGCACAAACTTTGGATCTCACTAGACTGATACTGAAATGGAAACTCTCTTGCAGCTATCGAATGTGGGTGGATGCCTGTTCTGAGATGTTTGGTGGCCTGGACATCTGTGCAGTAAAAGCTGTACATGGGAAAGATGGGAAAGATTATATCATTGAGGTTAGTCAGATGGTCCTTGTGCCAATTTGTGATGCACTTTTTATATTATGAATATTGACTTTAATATGAAGGTTTTTCATCGTATGTGGGCTCATCTGGTTGGAGATTAATTATTTAATATGCAGCTAATTAAAACAAAGGAGCATCTCCGAAAAGGAATGACCGTTTTAAGTTGACTGCATGTGGGTACAATTATAAATTACAGTAGACACAGTACAAATAGTTTATTTCTCATAAACCACAGGCATTGATGCATTTATTAACAGAATATAACAGTTCATCACCATTCTTAACCTATTTCTAATTTTGTTTAATTGTGATTTTAATATTCCAACCGTGGAGTGTCTTATGTTTTCCATTTGATTTTGTGTATTTTTAGAGCCCAATTTTAATTATGTCCACTGAAAGATCAGTGTGTTGTGCTGCTATCCTGTTCCAACTCCCTTTCTCCCCCTACCAAAAAAGAGCCAGGACAAAACAATGATTACTTGAAGCAGGCAGCAGCCTTATTCCAGGAATACTGCTGTGGATTCCGTAACTTTCCCAGGATCTTGGCTGGAAATTTGTTGCATTCTCTGCCTGTTTGAATCAGGCGGTGAGCTGGTTAATCAGCCATCATTAAAAGGGTGACTGGAAGCCACACACAAAACAATGCCGGAAACATTATTTTTTGTGGAGTCCAAAGGAATATGAAAATATATTCTGGGCTGCTATGAATCACCAACTCCCACCCAACATGGGAACTAATTGATTTCAAAGTCTCTCACAGTCTTCGAGCTAAAACTCTAGAGTGCCCCACTGAGTATCTGTAAATCCCATTCCAAAGTGAGCATTACCTCTTGTTGCTACTGTGGCATTCTGGAGTATAGAATTGTTGTACAATACATTTACAAATCTCTGCTTTAAAGCAAGTGAGTTTTCCCAGTTTATAATGACATGTGCCCTTAAAGTAATTCTTCTGTTCCCTTGCACTGTGCCTCTTCATTCTACCTTCCTCCCACTTAGTGCTGTAAATTATTATCCATAAGCCGAATTGAGTGTCTGGAAAAGTGCTGACTGATGATTTGATCTTTTATGTTAAGGGTGTGTGCAAATTAATTTTATTCTGTAGCTTTTGCCCTTCTGCAGGACTCATTCTATACAGTCCAGCAATCCCTAAGCTGCATCACATCCTTTCTTCATCCATTGCCTTTTCTGAATACTTTAATATGTCTGAATGTTGTATTTGCATTAACCTGACTACCTAGCTTTGCTTCAGATACTCACACTACATCACATTTCCCTGTAACCACATTACCTTATTTCTAATGCTTCCTTGCATTCCTGCATAAAAGATGTTGAATGTAGTTAGCTCCTTACATTCATATAAATGTCAAATGAGGACAAAATTGGTTTTGGCTATGATGTTCTTCACCAATAAGTTGGGTGCCAGATAAAACCAACATCTGTTGATAGGTTGGTGTAAACCTACTGGACAGAGAATGTGGACAACAAATCTGTGGGTGATCACAGTTGGACTCCACTGCAAACAGTAGTGCTCTTCTGCCCTCTCATGGGAGGATTAACAAACAACTCACAGCAGTTCTGACTAACTCAAATGATGAACCTCTTACCCATCCTTCTCTGAGTTCTTCTGTTTGCGATGTTGGGAATATTATGTGGCAGCGGAGCTCAACTTGAGACAACTGTAACAGTCACAATTGTTTCCCAAAACTATCTCCCAGTGGTTGTTTGGAGCAGGGAAAGAACTGAAGAAAAAGACTTGTATGATCAGATTTCCCATTGTACAATATATGTTGTAACAATCTGGAACAAAGGTAACCACTTTTGTATTTCTATGTGTAAGAAATGTTTGTTCTGGCAGTAACAGCCTCAAAATGAGTTCTGCTGGAAACAGACACAGCATATAATGTGAAGATTTGGCATTTGTTCTATCGGCGTGCCACTTATTTTGACTTCTGATACTCATGGCCTAATAATTGAGCTCTGATGTTAATCATTAGCAATGACTGTGGTGCTACTGCTATAATATGCCTGAGAAATGTTTTTGAAGTGCAAATGGCTGGACGCTTGGCTCATTGGATGTTTTATAATTAGACAGAAAGATCTGGGGATATACTGACTGTCTCTCAGTTGGTTTGCCACCCACGGCCAGTGAAATATCAGAAGTGGGACGTGAAAGTCAATGCTATAATCTTTATGCAAGTGAACCTAAAGATACACAGAGAAAGCTACACTCATCAAATGGATTGGACTGCTCTGTTCAAGACTGAGTCCAGGAGCAACAAGAATATTGAGTTTACGAAATGAACGGGTTAAATTGCATTATTGTTGTGTGGCTATCCACCCTCTACAAATGTGCTGCAGTGGTAAAGGGAGGCAGTGGCATACTGTTAATGTCACTGGAGTATTAATCCAGAGCCCAAGGCAGGCTCTGGGGATAAGGGTTGAATCTTTTTCTGGAGGTTGGTGAAACAGAAACAGTGAAGTCAGGGAAGGGGAGTGAAGAAGCAAAGATGGGCCGAGTGAAGGTGAGAGACGAATGGAAATTGGAAGCAAAGCTGATTAATTTTTCCAACTCCAGACGAGAGCAAGAAGCAGTACCAATGACATAGTTGATGTAATGGAGAAAGAATTGTGGATGGTGGGGGCAAGTTGGACTGGAACAAAGAATATTCCACATACCTCCACAAAGAGACAGGCATAGCTGGAACCTATGCGGGTACCCATAGCCCCATCTTTGACTTGGGAAAGTCAGATAAATTAAAGGAGAAGGTATTTCAAAGTGAGAATGAGCTCACCAAGGTGAAGGAGGGTGGTGATGGATGGAGATTGTTCAGGCCTTTTTTCAAAGAAGAATCCATACATCATTTTGGCAATTTGATGACTGTTCCAGATCTCGTTTTGTGTAACATACTTGGAAGTGTGGATTTCACCTTTGGCTGTTCTTGGCCTGCAGACATGTCGTCAGTGTGTTGAGTGTTGTCTGGTGTTCCATCACACTGTTTTCGTTTGAGTGTGTATTTTGTGCACGATAAGTATATTGTAAAGAGACAGTAGGAACTGCAGATGCTGGAGAATCCGAGACAACAATGTGCAGGGCTGGATGAACACAGCAGGCCAAGCAGCATCATAGGAGCAGAAAGGCTGACGTTTCGGGCCTAGACCCTTCATCAGAAAAGGGGGAGGGGAAAGGGGTTCTGAAATTTTTTTAACCCACAAAGAGGCAGGCGTAGCTTGGGCCCCGTGGAACAATCCCTCTTCCGTACCTACACCGGCCCTAAACCCCACCTCTTCCTCCGTTACATTGATGACTGTATCGGCGCCGCCTCGTGCTGCCACGAAGAGCTCGAACAGTTCATCCACTTCACCAACACCTTCCACCCCAACCTTAAGTTTACCTGGACCATCTCTAATACCTCTCTCCCCTTCCTGGACCTCTCTGTCTCCATATCGGGCAACCACCTAGAAACCGATATTCATTTCAAGCCCACCGACTCCCACAGCTACCTGGAATACTCCTCCTCCCACCCACCTTCCTGCAAAAATTCTATCCCCTA